CATCAGTGTTAAAGGTGTTAAAGTTTTAGGGATGGGAGTTGATTGTATTGATAAGAGTGTTATAAAATCTGCTTATCTGTCTGATTCCTTTCCCTTCATGACTCCTGATCAGTGTTTTTCTGTTGGGGGGGGATGGGTAAAAAGATGTGCCAGTGTTTACTTAATAAAAATCTGCTTTCCCTGTTGCTATTGTTATTATAATGTATATATTAACTGTCTGTTAATATGCTGCTCAGTTAGGAAGCAGAGACACTTGTGTGTCAAACATATGGTATCCCATTCAGGAAATTGCTGTGGTGCTTGTATGCTTGTAGCAAGTGAACAATAGAATAATAAAAGAATAGACGTGTTTGACGTCATTGTATTGCAATGAGCACTTTAAGAAAAGCACAGCAGAATCATAAAGGGAAATGATTATAAGCTTGGAGGTGAACAATTCCGATATTTTGATACTGGTTCTCAAATGGAACAGGTTCTTGAAGCCCGGTCTTATATGCATAGAGTGGTTACTTGTTGTAAGTGGTTCTGTTAGGGCTGTAGGATGGAAATCATGGAAACATTGACATCTAATTAAATAGAGAGTTTAAAGCAATAATAATAGAAATAGTAAATAGAGATTTGCAGCAAAATTCACATCTACTGCAACTACGAGGTGCTGTGATGTACATGTTGCAGTACAAGCTGTGTTGTGCTTCTTTCCTCCTCTTGTGTACTTGTGTAGTTCTCACATTTTGGGATAACATCGTAGGTTTTCTTCTAAACAACTTCACAACCTGTCTATCTGTCATTTGAAAGTGACAGAATTTATTTGCATAAAGATTCAGGGTTTTGTGCGTGCGTGTGTGTGTCCAGTGTCTTCTGACAGTAAAGACCGATTGTTGCAGTGTAGTGACAACATGAATTATTTATGACCTCTGACTGCAGCTGTTAGTCAGTAGATGATCTTTGTCTTCCGCTTTTCTCTCCCTCATATAATTTGTTGTTTTGTCTCCTTTTGTCGTTTCGTCCTCTCTGTAATCATTATCCCCTGGTCTTGATGCTATTGCTGTTTCTGTCTTTCTTTCTTTTTTTCCGCTTGACATTTGTTTAAACATATATCTCTCTATTTCACACTCTGTCCTGCTCCCTCTTTCTCTTCTCATTTATTATACAGGAGAGACCGTTTGTGCGGTCTAATTAAATCGTACGTCTTTGTTACACTGAAGGGAATCAGGTGGGGTTTAGATCGCCCAATTACAAAGTCCTGAACTCAAACTTTTGTGCTTGAGTACTCCGAGGGGATGAGAAAGAGAGTGAAACATAATTTTTAAATGTGTGTGTTTGTGTTCTGTTATTGGGCATTATGAGATTTAAAGCTAGAATTAAAATAGGGCTATGTTTGGTCTACTGAACGTGGTGACACTGAAAGGTCACAATTCATGTATCTACTCCCTTGAGATCACGTTCAAGATGAAGGTTCGATTCATCCACTTGATCCTCATTAATTCTCCTGGTACAGATTGATTGATTTCGGCTGAGCGGGTCGATCTCTGCTGACTTCTGTTACATTGAGTTCAGATGCAAGCCACACCTTGATTTCAACGAGTCACTGTGCTGACGGCCTCTACACAAAGTGCTCTGTAAAAAATGACAATGATAATCAAGCATATTGCAAAAAATAAAAAATATGAAGATGTATATTTATATTCCCCCACTGATGTGTGGGGGAATATAACTGAAGTGAAAATCTGCTTAATCTGGGAAATTTGTCATAAAACACATAGTTGTGTCAACATTGCTGAAATCTCTTGTCCTCTGTCTTTCCTTGTCCATTTTCCTCCAGACGAAGGTTACTACCAAAGTGGAAGGTTTCAGTTTGAAATCAACGTTCCCGAAGCCTATAACATGGTGGTGAGTGGTCCACTGTGTTTTGTGTATGAATGTTTGATTGTGGTCATTTTCCTTCTGTCCTGTTGTTTTGTGTTTTAAGCAGTCTCTAAACAAAGGAGCATTGCCCGTCCACCTTGAGTTCTCTGTTCCAGGTTTATGAGCCTTCATGTTCACTACTCGGTGGGATGAGTGTCACAGATAAAAGCTGCATTGCTGTAAAACCTCACTCAGGAGAAGCTGTAATTGCCTCTTAAGCGCTGCTGTTATGAAACCATCTCACCACGATCTCCACTTATCTTTTCTGGATGAACTAAATGAGGTCAAAGCCGGTCGGTTTCACTCAGCTGTCAATCTGAATGACCCTACATCTCAAAATGTGGACGGGAACAGTGTTATCTGCTTCATCATCAGGCTCAACAACTTGTCTCTTTTAAACGAATTTGAGCTAATCTGAGCTGACATTGATAAGTTGAGTTTCCTTTCTGTTTACTGATTTACCTTTAACAACCAGTCACTAATTTCAAAAAGCCCCTATTAGAATTCCAGACAGCATGAAACCAAACTGGGCTCATCACCCTCTACCCTGGAGACATAAATGATCAAAACCAGTGTAAGACTTAAGCCTGAGGATAAAAAGGATGAGTTTCACTTGTCGTCATCACCGAATAGTCGTCCTCAATGTCCCGATTCCGAAAATCCTTTTGTAAAGCCATTTTATCAAGGCTAAAAATATCAAGATATTATTTGAAGATGTGGCTCGCTGTACTGTCTGTAATGAGAGATGGTTCCTGCACACACAGCTTCACCTCTGCACGCAGGGTTTATCGTTCATTTCCTGGACAGAAGCCCTTCTAAAGACACTGTGAGTCACCATGATGAATTGAATGCCTACAATTCAGACAAAGGTAAAAGTGTGTTTAGTGTCATTGTTATATGACATTTTTCAAAAGAAATGTTACAAGTAGAATCTATTCAACCTGATCAGTCATTTTTAAACTCATAAGCTTTAAGTAAGCGGAATATTTGTTGTCATATCTATTGAGAATTGCAGAGGGATCCTTTCCCCTTGACCCTAACAGTGCTGCAGTCTTTGGATACATCTCAATTCCATTAAGTCTCTCCATGTTTTCCTCAATTTTCAATCTTACGTCTTATTCGTTCTCATTCAAGAGATCCAGAGAAACATGGAATTATTTTTCTAGCCTTTTCTCTGACAAGTCATCTCAGGCGACGTGTGTATCTGATGATGACTATTTACACATAATGGCATTGAGCTGAATGTCCTCTACATGGCAATAGAGTGTGTGTCTTCACTCCTCAGACGTCCCTGCATTCTCCTTTGCTTTGGAACTGCCTGCAACATGGAGGAAAGGAAGGGTTTCCAGGTCCAGTGAGGATCAAGAAGCAATGAATGAACACATTTGGTCTCTAATAGCTAATGTGGTTCCAGACAAGGAGCATCTTAGAGACCATTGGAGTGGATGAAACATGTAGTGTAATTGGCAAAACATGGGGCAGCTGAAACCCCTCTTAAAACCGTGTCTGGTAAAGTTTGGACCAAATGGACATAGCAGAATTCAGCCCACATTAGACAACATCATTTCCTTCAAGACACAGTTCTCTCAGACAAAGGAATATTGTGGCAGCAGGTTTTAGAGACAGCTTCTCACAACTTAAGAGCACTTTAAGTTTATGTGAAGTGCTGTTTTGTTCATGGACACCATACTTGTACCTTATCACATGTATTTTGATGTCTTCTAGTAGGGAATGGAATGTAGGGAGATTATCACATGTTAAGGTGACTTGTTTGATGATTGCAGACAATGATATTACAGCTTTTTGTTTTTTTGCTGCTATCTACTGGAAGTTGTCTTTTACAAGGAGGGAGATACAGTAGGTTAATCACCAGCTACTTTGAGTTTGTAGGTTTCGGTGGTACTGAGGTGTGAAGCCATGTAAAGCCTTTGGAAAGTGAACAATCTGACGAACATGGAAAATAGAATATCGTAAATGTGACCCTTTCTTCCTTGATTTTTTTTTAATGGGGTGTACTTGCCCCTTTTTTTCTCCATCTCTGATACAGCCCCTATGCAACTAGAGAATGGAGTTACTTAATCTCCATGATTACAGTCATTTTTTTAGCAGTCAGTGTGGCTTCTGTTAGCATGGAAAAGAAAATCTCTGCTCACCCCGATGTCGTTCAAACAACCCTGTTGCAAAATGCAGAGATTCACTTAACACACAAGACCCTACAAATGCCATTTCAGCTGAGTCTTAAAAAAGCCCAATCATTTCTCTATCGAGGTATGAGAGGCTGATGTTAACAGACGTTAACGTTACAAATTATGAGCGTAGCAGTTCAAACATTCCAAACTAGACTGACTTGACAGATTTCATCAATGTTTAATGAGGGGAGTCAGTAAGGACTTCCCATGAATGATCTTATGTTTGCTTTTTGCTATTTTAAAAGGGCTGTCTCAAATGTTTTAATAAAATTGGTACATAATGGGTTCTGCATTAAAAAAAGCTTACAAACCAGCAGAATATCTTTATAGAGAGGCATCACAAAGTATTCAGACACTTGATTTCAGTGTTATAGTAGTAGGATTTCACTTCTCGTCACTGGAGAGGTGAAGGGCTCTGAATATTTCTGAATTGATTGTTTATCACTACATATGAATGAATTACTCAGTGATGACACTTTAATGCTGGCGTCTGATGAAGGGCTGGTGGTGAATGCTCAGCTTGTAAAGCAGTCATAAATACTGGTTATTTCTATTTAATTTTCATTTTAAAAAAATTGTTAATTGTCTTTCCCTCTTAGTTTGTCACATCTATTAATTCTAACATAAAGTAAAAATCTGGCACCAGCATGATTGCGTTCAATTTGTTCCCAGCCAGCGACAGAGGATGTATTTGCTGACATTTGAGTGATGCAGCTAAACTCATGTTGATGTCAAATGTTTTTTCTTCACTGCACAACTGTTACTGCATTTTCATCCATGTTACTAGCAAAAAATAAAATGATTTGTTTGCCATTTATTTAAACAGAATTGCTTTGTAGACTAATACAATTGATTGTTCTGTAAATGTTTGAA